GCACGGGGTCCGAACTAGCCGGCATTTAAAAATGGCGCCGGCCGGCTTCATGCAAATGAAGCCCGGGAAATTCAAATCCCGGGCTTCATTTGCAACTGCGGATGACTACATTACCCCCGCTAGTTCGAACTAGCGGGGTAGTGTAGACATACCCCCAAGGACTAGGAGCTGCACTCAAAATGAAAGGCACTTGCCAGAGAGAGCCTCAGAATGGGAGGTTTATTTATTCCAAAGCCCAGTTTAGGCCTTGTGAGATGACTCCCGATGTGCCAAGATCATTGTTGTCACCTCAGATTTCTGCACCACAAAATCAGAATGCTTTCCTGGTACCATCTATTCCTGAGACATTTGCGGCCCTCAAAATCTCTTGGTACCAGCTTCCATGCAATTCAAGATGCTCACTTGGCATTAGCACCAAAGGTCGTACCACATGGGATCATCAGATCTGACAATAAGCATACCAGTTACAATGGTACCATCTGAGGAAAGCTGCAGATGATCTCATGGGTATCTCTTTCTCCAGAATTTGTTCCAGCCTCTCCAGTACTGACGGAAGACAGATCATTCATGATCTCAGGAATCAGATTTTTCTTCAGATGTCTTCATTTTCACCAGGGCATGATGAAATGCATACTAGAATACTCAAGGACCTGGCTGAAGAGATAGCTGTGCCTTTAGCTATTATCTTTGAACAGTCATGGTGGGTGGTAGACATTTCAGAAGACTGGAAAAGGGCAAATATAGTGTCTATCCTTAAAAAAACCAAATAAGGACAACCCAGGGAATTGCAGACCAGTCAGCTTAACTTCTGTACCGGAAAAGAAACGGAGCAATTCATTGCAAAAATCTAGACCATAACGTGATAAGTAACAACATGGATTTGTCAAGAACAGATCACGTCAAACCAACCTGACAGAATAACAAGGTCTTGTAGAGAAAGGAGAAGTGATAGATATGGTATATCTCATTAACAAACTAGGAAAATACAACTTAGATGGAGCTACTATACGGTGGATATATACCGTATTTTCCGGCGTATAGGGCGACTGGGTGTATAAGACGACCCCCTATCTTTTTAATTAAAAGATAGGGTTTCATCTTATACCCCAGCGCCCCTCCGCCTCCTTTGCTCCCGGTGTCCCTGGTCTGCTGGAGATGGTCCCCAGCAGACCAGAGGCACCGGGAGCAAA